AAACACATATTTGCGTGAGCATACCAATACAGCAAGTTATCTGTTTTGGTTAAAATACTTGCAAAACTGAAAGGCAGCTAGAAAATCTAGATAATCCACGGTATTCTGTGTGGTTGAACTTTAAAATGTATTTCTTCTCAGAGGGCCTTAAATTGTAAGACACCATGGAGACTGCGGTGCTGAACCTCCAGGGCTTATATGAAAGGATGAGGACGCAAGTTGACCTTCTCAGTGAGAACATTGAACCCAGTGAGTATATCATGGCTACAGGTTCTGTTGTCTTTACCTTCTATTAATTCACACAGGCACTTCAGGCCCCTATAGACTATACTAATGCTCCCATTTCCCCCTAGACTTTATTCAGATGGCCCAAAACTTTGATGACTGCCGTCGCAAATGGCTAAAGACTGAGCATGAACTGGGGTCATGCAAAGAGATGCTGAGAAAAACGGAGACTGAGAGGGGAGCCTTGGAGGTCAAACTGAAGCATGCCCGTAACCAGGTAGACGTGGAGATACGGCGCAGACAAAAGGCTGAGACAGACTGTGAGACACTGGTAGGAAGGATGACTGGACCCTCATTGCCAACCCTTCTTTGTTGTTGGTGTCAATTTAGGCTACAGTGTGATTTCAATTGACTCATTTTTGTGTCGTGCTTGGATTTCTATGATACAGGACCGTCAAATTCAGTTGATCCGGGACCTCTTGACCTGTGAGGGATCCAGTAACAGCATCCAGTTGAGTGCAGAACAGCGCTCAGCTCTGGCTTTCCTGAACACAAACTGTCAGGCAACAACCAACCTTAATACCAGCCGGAGGTAAGTAACTCAAGATGTTTTATGTTAAATTCAAGCTGTTTAATGTAAAGCTCTTATTTCTGATCACTGATTGTTTGATTTTAAGGTACTTTCTCTTACACATGGGTACATCTAAACATTTCAGCCTTTTTATTGCATTACTACTTAGAGTTTTGAATCACCCATTAAGTTAGGTGGGACAAATGTGAGTACAAGAACAGCATTAGCTGATCTGATGCATATTTTCTGTTACTCTTGATAGACTGATGACGATAGATGAATCAGGCTCCATCTTGTCAGATATCAGCTATGACAAAACGGATGACTCTCTTGTAAGTATTTCTCTTTTACAAGTTAGAACTTGAATGTATGAAAAAAAACCTTTAATTTTTGAAAGCTTTTTTTTTTTTTACTTTATTTTTATCACTTTGTTTCAAAGGAGCAAACATAACAGAGCAAAATAAAACTGGTCACCAGGGGTAGGTAATACAATAAAGCACACAGTTACTGTGTGCTTTATTGTATTACTGCTTTACTGTGCTATTTTATTGTTTTTTGAACGTTATTTTTATCATTGCATTTCAAAGAAGCAAACAGATTTCACAAGACAGAGCAGATCAAAACAAATCACCTGGGGTAATACATGAAGCACACAGTAGCTAGTTAAGTACATGATAGCGATTGTTTTTTGAATTAATCCCAGGGGTCTACCCACACAACTGTGGAAAATCAACAAAAGAAAATGAATGGAAGTCCAGACTAGTCCATCAAGTCCTTCCAGACCCCAGATGAAGCCAAATGTTCACGCATGAAAAAGT